GCCGCGCCGCGCCGCCCCGCCCCCCCTCCCCCCCCCCGGGCCCCCACGGGCCCACCAAGCTATCATCGTCCGATCAGGGAGAACACTGAAGCGATTCTCATCTCCGAGGCTGGCCGGCCCGGGCGAGCTGAGTCCGGCACCGTACGGTCGCCGCCGCGCCCGGCCGTCTCGGACGGTCCGTGGCAGGAGCAACGGCGTGACTGAGCCTCCGTCGGAGCCTCGCCGCCTCAACATTCACGGTCACCGTAGTCCGAGGCTCAGCGGCTGGTTGGCAACTGAGCGTTCCGCGCTTCAATGTGCGGCCGGGCGGCACCAACGGTCCGACGGCGCCGTGCCGGGCGGCCCCGCGGCGGCGGCCCGGGCGTGACTCGTGACTCTTGAGAGTCAGCCCGGGGTGCAACGTGCGGCGGCCGCGCGGCCCGGCGAGTCACGGGCCGCTCTGTACAACCTGAGCCCCGGGGCGCAGGCGCTCTACGGTCGGAAACTTGCGGCTCGGAACCGGGCGCGCGGCGGCCGCCGTCGCGCGACCGTACCGGCCGCGCGGGCCGTACAACCGTACCGTACGGTACGCTGCGGCAAACTTCCGAGTCGGTCGGCCCCGCGCCGGGGGCCCCCGCGGCTCAGTTCTCAGCGGCCCGGGCCGCCTGAGTCACCATCATGGCATGTGGGCCGCGGATGAACTCAGGCTCGCCGAAAGATGCCAGTGATTGAGTAAAGTTAGGAACCGTCGGAAGAGTTTCAAATTCAAACGGCCCAGACCGTTTTCCCCTACACGCCTCCTCCTTCGCTGCTAGCCCCCCGCTAACCGCACCCAACTTCTCTTCTCCTCCCTCCCTCCCTCCCTCCCTCCCTCCCTCCCTTCCCCACACTGTCTTGCTTGTTTGTTTTGATCTGTGAGGTGCAACTCTACGATTGCCTGTGCTGATATCGAGAGCGATCGAGACAGTTGTTCAGTTCCTCCATGTCTTCGGTTCCAGTCGCCAAGACTCCCAGGAGGGCAGGAGGAAAGTTCCACACGATAGCCACAAGCACTCCATCCAAAGTCATCCCCGTCAAGAACGTCGGGAAGATGCCATCTTCGGACTCACACTCAACCCCTGTGAGAGGAGGTGCGCTGTTCCACCTTCAATCTCCGTGCCTCGACGAGCACGGGCAGGAGCGAACCTCAGAGGACTCAAATGATTCCAAGGACATGAGCAGCAACATTAAAGTCTTCGTGAGAGTCCGTCCTCTCAACGAGAAGGAGTCCTCCAAGCATTCTGAGACCGTCGTCACGGTCCCCACCACGGACACCGTCATCCTCCATGGCAACGAGCCGAAGCCGTTCACCTTCGACTATGCAGCTGACCCGAGCACAACGCAGGAGGAGATGTTCAACATGATCGGGCAGCCCTTCACTGACTCGTGCCTTAAGGGGTACAACGGTTGCATCTTCGCCTATGGCCAGACAGGCTCTGGCAAGACTTTCACCATGCAGGGGCCAGAGTTTGACGGGAAGGAGGGCACGAAGGAGCATAGAGGGCTCATCCCGAGGACATTTGACTACCTCTTTGACAAGATTGCGCACAAGGAGAACGCCGCGAACTCCTCTCGTCCTGGGAGCCTGCAGTTTGTTGTGCGCTGCTCGTACCTGGAGATCTACAACGAGACCGTGACAGACCTGCTGGACCCGAGCAAGGTTAACCTCCAGGTCCGAGAGAACTCCAAGGAAGGGATCTACGTGGACGGGCTCACATGGCAGGAGGTGAGGGATGCCGAAGCATGCAACGCGCTCCTTCAGAGAGGCCTGAGGAACAGGCACGTCGGGGAGACGTCGATGAACAAGGAGTCGTCACGCTCCCACTCGCTGTTCACGCTCAAGGTGGAGAGCACGCACCTGACGGCCGAGGGGCTGACGAAGCAGCGTCACTCGTGCCTCAACCTGGTTGACCTGGCCGGGAGCGAGAGGCAGAAGGCAACCAACGCCTCCGGGGACAGGCTGAAGGAGGCCTCCAACATCAACAAGTCGCTCTCGGCGCTGGGGAACGTGATCATGGCGCTGGCGGACATCTCGGACGGGAAGGCGCGACACGTGCACTACAGGGACTCCAAGCTGACGTTCCTGCTCAAGGACTCGCTGGGGGGCAACAGCAAGACGGCTATCATCACCAACATCTCCCCAGCAGACTCCAACTTCGGGGAGACAATCTCCTCCCTCAAGTTCGCGCAGAGGGCGAAGCTGATCAAGACCAGGGCAATCCTGAACGAGGACACCAACGGCTCCTTGGAGCAGCTCCGCGGGGAGATCAAGAGGCTGAAGGAGGAGCTGGTGGTTGCGAAGCGCTGGGGCAGCCTGACCAACCCCATTGGCTCCCCGTCCAAGGCCTCCAGCCTCTCCTCCCCTGCTTCCTCCGGCAGAGAGAGCAGCCAGACGTCTGAGGAGAAGCTGTCCCTGCAGGCGAGGATCGAGGCCCTGGAGAACCTCCTCTACCAGTGCCTGGAGAAACAGGGCGAGGAGGAGGAGCAGGCGCAGAAAATGGTAGAGGTGGCGTCTCAAGCGCAGGAGCTGGTGAGGGCAACACAGGGAGCTGACAGCGAGCTGTTCTCGAGCCTGAGGATGCAGCTGAAGCTGAAGAACGAGTCGGTCAAGCATCTCTCCCTCAAGGTCAACGCCATCCAGGCGAAGCAGCAGGCTGAGCACAAGGAAGGGGAGGAAGAGAGCGCGGAGCTCGCAGAGCTCAAGCAGGCCATCGATCTGCTGAAGCAGGAGAATGAAGAGCTAAGGAAAGCGCAGGATGCTCCTCTTGCCCAGCATCCGGACTACAGGTAACACTCTTCCTCCCCTCTACCTCCCTCTTCCTCCCCTCCCCTATTCAGCTCACTCCGCCCTGACAGGAAGATCGCGCTAGAGAACTCCGAGCTTCACCTGGCCCTCCACTCTTCAGGTCTCTTCATCGTTGAGAGCTCGCCGGGGGGCAGCGTCCGCCTCCTCCCTCGCGAGGACGGCGACGACCGCAAGCACCTGGACCACATCAACCGCGAGCTCAGGGAGCAGTTCCTTGCCGCGGTCAAGGACAAGAGGAGCCTGCAGGACGAGAACGACAGGCTGAAGCAGATTGCGGCCGCGCTTCAGGTCGCGCCCGAGGAGCAGGAGGAGGAGAGGCGCGTGGCGGCGATGACCAGCCCGGAGAGGAAGGCGTACGAGGGGATGAGGCTACAGAAGTGGAGGGAGCAGGAGGACTTTGAGAGCAGGTACAGGAAGCTCGCGGACGAGCTCGAGTGCGTGAAGAGAGAATGCAAGGTCTGTCTCCTTCCCGCTCCCTCCTCCTCCTCCTCCTCCTCCTCTGCTGTCTCTCCCTCACCCTGTCTACATCCTCCGTCCCTTCCCCGCACGTCCTCGTCTTACCCCCTCCTCGAAGGCTCTGGAAGCGAAGGCGGAGGCCAGCGAACGTCGAGCTCAGATTGCCTCGGGGGAGCTCAACGAACTTCTCCCGACGCTGAAGCGACTCAGCGCAGGAGAGGAGGAGCTCTCCGCCGACGCTCTGTCCTCCAAGGCCAAGGAGCTCGCGGAAGTCCGCTACTCCCTGTCGCGGGAGGTGAGGCGGAGGAGGAGGACGAAGAGGGAGGGAGGAGGCGGGTTGTGAGAGGTTTGCAGGAAACTTCTCGCAAGAGGATGGAGGATGACCTTTCCAAGTTCCAGAACACCATCAAGGAGCTCCAGTCACAGCTTGAGACGAGCAGGCAAGAGACTCCCCTCCCCTCCCCTCCCTCCCTCCCTCTCCTTACGCACCAGCAGGAGCGAGCTCGACGGCGCCTCCAGGAGGGAGGGTCAGCTGAGGCAACAGCTACAGGCCGCAGAGTACGCGGCAGCAGCCATGGAGAGGAAAGCGAGCAAGCAGCGGTACAGCATCGGAGACTCCGGCAGGTTCGCCCAGCTGCAGCAGGAGAACGAATCCCTCCAGCTCAAGGTCGGCGCAATCCCTCCCCTGAGTTCCTTGGACGATCTCCTTGTCCTGCTCCTCATCATGTCCCATCATCATGGTCCCTCTCTCTCCCCTTCCTCCTCTACTCTCTCTCTTCCCTGCTTTACTCTACTCACCCTCCTCTCCTCCCCTCCCCTCTCTCAACTCCCTTCCCCAATCCACTCCACTCCTCCTCCCCACCTCAAATCTGCCCTGCTCATCCCTCTTTCGCAGCTTCAGAACCTCCAGGACGAGTACGACTCCTTCAAGGAGGAGTTCGCCTTCATGGAGTCGAAGCTGCAGCGTCTCAACGCGGAGCTCTTGGAGCACGAGGAGAGGAGCAGCGAGCAGGCACAGGCGCTGGAGCAGGCAGCAACTCAGCTCTCCTCCTCCAACGAGAGGCTGCTGGAGGCCGAGTCGAAGCTGCAGGAGCTGTACAGCGGGAAGGAGAGCAGCGGCGAGCTCTCGGAGGGAGCGAGGAAGGAGGCGGAGAGAAGGGCGGAGGAGGCAGAGAGAAGGGCAGAGGAGGCGGAGAGCAGGCTGGCAGAGAGCATGAAGAACGAGGGGGAGCTGCGAGACGGGCTGTCCCACCAGCAGGCAGTCCACGAAGCCCTGCAGAAGGAAACAATGATCGGGCAGGAGGTGCTGAAGGAGACGCTCAAGAACCTTGAGAGCAAGAGCATCATGCTGGAGCAGACGCAGGCGGAGCTGAACGACAAGATGTCCGAGATCATCGAGCTCCGCGATAAGGTCTACTCCCCTCCCTCTTCCTCTTCCTCTTCCTCTTCCTCTCCTTCCTGTTACTCCTCCTCTCTTTCGCTCCTTCCTACTCCTCCTCTCTTCTTCCTCTCTCCTTCCAACACCACCACATAGGTTTACCTTTGCTTTCACTTGTTTTCCTTGTACTTTCTTTCTTACCTTCCCCTTCCCCTCCCCTTCTCCTCCTCCTCCTTCACCTCCTCTCCCATCCTCTTCTCTCCCTCTTGACCTCCTTCTGCAGCTGGACGTCGCCCAGGCCGAGCTGGAGAGGGTGCAGGGGACGCTGACGGAGACGAAGAGGAGGCACGAGCTGCTGATCGACGACAGGGAGGGCAGGGAGCAGGCGCACGCGCAGGAGCTCAATGACATGCTGGCGGAGGTCAGGAGGAGGCAGGAGCGGGTCACTCAGCTGGAGAAGGAGCTGGCCTCGTCCTCGGAGAGGGTGTCGAGGGTGGAGAAGAGGCTGTCGCAGGCGGAGGGGAAGGAGGAGGCGCTGCGCGGGCTGCAGGAGGAGGGCAAGCAGCTGAGGGCACAGCTGCAGCAGAAGGAGGGGGAGGTGTTCGAGCTCGGGTTCGAGCTCAAGGGGGAGAGGAGCAGGATGGTGATGATGGAGACGGAGAGGGAGGAGCTCAAGGGCAGGGCAGAGGAGCTCTCCCTGCACGTACAGGAGCTGCAGGGGAGGAACGAGAAGCTGCAGAAGAACTACGAGGAGATGCAGGCGACGGTCTCGCGGCTCAACGGAGAGCTGGCGGAGAGGAGCAGCGCGCTGGAGAGGAAGCAGGCGGAGCAGGAGCAGGCAGGAGGGGCGCTGAAGAGGGCAGAGGAGGAGGTGGAGAGACTGAGGAGAGAGGTGGAGGAGGCGAAGGGGAAGGTGCAGTCCTCCAAGGAGCAGAGGGCAGCGCAGGAGGAGATGTCCGCCGCAGTGAAGGAGAGGGAAAAGAGCTATGCTCTCTCAGAGCGGAGATGACCAAATGGATTGATGAGATGAAGCAGGTACTCCCTCTTTCACCTCTCTTCTCCTTCTCCCTTCTCTCTCCTCCTCCTTCATGCTCTAAGTCTTCCCACAGCTCAAGGAGAGCGAACAAGCTGCCAAGGCGCATGCAGCGCAAGTTGAGGAGAACTTGAAGGTAATGGGGAGCAGGAGATCTCTTCCATATGCATGAGGAAGTGAGGGGGAGATCAGGTGGTGGTGGTGGAGGAGATGAGGAGGAGAAAGCGGGGGTGGGGTGGGGGGGGTGGGGGGGAAGAAATGTCTTAACCTTGTGCCTGCAGAGAGCAGAAGGCGAGAACCAGAAGTTGAGCAAGGCGCTGCAGGAGGCGAAGAAGCAGGTGGAGGAGCTCAACGAGGTGAACTCGAAGCTCATCGGCCATCAGAACACGAAGCAGAAGCTACAGGTGTGAGAGGGAGAGGAAGAGCATGGAGAGGAGGAGGGGGGAGGACGAGGATGAAGAGGAGGAGGATGAAGATGGAGGTTTGACCTTGTGGACAGCACACGGTCAGAATCAAGGAGGAGAACAACACACTTAAGATGCAGATTCAGTCCGTCTCCTCTGAGCTTTGCAAGATGAAGGAAAAATCCACCCGCCTCGAACAGGTACCTCCTCACACATCCTCCTCCTCCTCCTCCTCCTCCTCCTCCTCCTCCTCTCTTCTTTCTTTCCTTACCGGTCTGACAGGAAGCAAACAAGCTGCGAGCTGCTCTCGGCCTAGAAGGGGGAGCCGCTGAGGTTTGTTGCTACCTCTTGCATATCCTCCTCCTCAACAACGACATGCAGGTCCTGGCAGAGGAGCAGAAGGTCAAGGAGAGTGCGGCAGAGACAGTGAGAGGAGGAGCAGAAGGTTCAAGCAGGAATTGACGGGGATGTGCAGGACAAGGAGAACCAACAGCTCAGGATGGAGTTTGATCAGCTGCTGCAGGCAGGACTACTAGTTCCTCATCTCTTCTCCCTTATCCCATCTCTCCTCCCCTCCTCCTGTTCCTCTCCCTCCTCCTCCTGACTTCATTCTCCAGCGTTCACTCGAGCTTTCCAACATCATCATCATCATCATCATCATCATCATCATCATCATCATCATCATCATCATCATCATCATCATCATCATTCATCGCCTCTGTTCACCTCTCCTATCCCTCTCATGCTAGCGCAGTTCCCTCCCCACCTCATACATGTCTCCATCCCCTACCTCTCATTTCGCCCCTCCTTCTCCTCTCCCCGCTTACCTTGACTTTCTTATCCCGGACTCGAAGTGCCAAATCCTACAATTCTCAGTCAGATCGCCCCTACCAGAACCTTTCCATCGCTCTCCTCCTCCACTCCTCCCCTTCTTCACTACCACCAGAACGACGAGTACCACCACCAATACCACCAACACCAACTCCTCCTCGTCCTCCTCGTCCTCCTCGTCCTCGTCCTCCACCACCTCCTCCTCCTCGTCCTCGTCCTCCTCGTCCTCCTCCTCCACCACCACCACCACCAGCACCTCCTCCTCCTCCTCCTCTGCACCACCACCATCCCCGTCTCCCTCTTCCCCTTCTTCTTGCTTCTCCTCGCACTTTCGCCTCTCCTCTTCTCTTGCATCACCAGATGACGTTCGTTCTTCCTGCTGGGCCATCGCCCTCGGCGCTGGCAAGAATCTCGCCGGTTCCCTGAGGAGGCATGTGAGGAGATGGAGGAGGCAAAGGGCAGGAGGAGGAGACAGCAGAAGGTAGGAGGGGGAGGCAGAAGGGATATGGTTGGACTGGGTAGAAAGACTACGGAGGAGGGAGGAGCGAGGAGGGAAGGGGGGAGGGGGAGGAGCGAGG